TATTAAATATATTTACATTTACCAATTCAAGATAAATTTCTTCCTAATAAAGTATCATTCAGACCTATCTAAATATATGTCAGATAAAGAGAAAGTAATAGAAACATTGGGAAATTTTGTTTCCCTTCTTTTGTTTTTAGGTTTTCCTGGTGGCTAAATGGATTCTTGCAGAATTTTGTACTATGTTATGAGATTGGACAGAAGAAAATTGCAGCACAGGATTCATTTCTTTCTTGGCTTAAATTTCATTGATTTAAAGGTTTACTCATTTCTTGGGTTTACTGCAATACTAATTTCCACCTTAACCTAAATGAAAGACAGAATCTTATAAAACAAGAGAATCTTACTTACATTTGATTAATATGGGAATTATAATTCTCATAATACTTGGTTAATTTATCAGTTAAAATTTAGTAACAGAGTTACAGCAAGAATTTATTACTAAAATTAAATTCTACGACAGTAATACATCATTCTTAGAGAGTATTATTTATAAATATAAAATGCACTTTGTATATACACATTTATGTTACTAAGAGTATAGTTTAGCTGCCACCTGCTAAAATGTAATACAGTTAAAAACTCACTGATTAAAGAAAATAACCTCATGGACTTAAGTCAAGGAAAGATAGGTTTTCTTTGATAAAAGGCTGTCTCTTCTAGTCCTCCATAAATAGAAGATTATTCAATTCTTTTTATTCTGAAAAACATTTTTTGGTAATGAAATGTTTCTGTATGTGTTTTATAATCAGTCACTTTCTTCTCAAAGCAAGATAGGACTGTGTGTGTGTGCGTGCACACAAGTACACATATGCATGTGTAAATGAACTGAAAAATCAAGTCCAGGTTTCAAGCGTAGTTCTGAGTAAAAAAAAAATTTTTCAAAAAAAAAAATTAAAGAAGCTGAATGCTGTTGATGCCCATGTTTTGCCACTCCTTTCTATTTCAGTCCATTTCAACCCAACAAATACCTTTGGGTATTTATTATTTGCAATGTTCTATGCTAAGTGCTGAGAATACAAAAAGGAAAGAGGGGAGGGAAAATGGAAAGGAAAGAAGGAAGAAAAATAAAGCTCATAGTCCCTATTCTTGTGAAGTTCATGATCTTGTAGGATATGCAACTACGTATATCTAAATAGTAGAAAACATAGACATTGACATATACCGTTAAAGAAGAACCTAGTATGTGGGAACATAGGAAAAGAGGGGTGGCGGATCTTAACTGGAGTTGGGATTGGAAGATACAAGAAGGTTTCACAGAGTGACACCTGGTTAGCTTTAAAGAATCTTGGCAGAAGGTAGATAAGGCGTTCTAGGTAGAGGATGTAGCACATTACAAAGGCGTAAGATGTTCAAGTGTCTAGTACATTTCGGAAAACAAGCTGTAGTGAGATTTAACTATGAGACATCTATATAAAGGAGAAAAGATGAAAATGAAGCCAGGCAGTGAAATAAAAGCCAGATTATCCAAAAAGCTGAATGTCAGAAGGAGGCCCTGAAAAATTTTGAGCCTATGTGTGAAATATCTGGGCACAGCATATTTCAAATACTGAATCGTCAATTCTGTTTTCAAACACTTTTACTCTGATGTCATCGATATTCGGAAATCCCTCTCCGTTTTACATCAACAGCACCACATTTCTATTTCTCCCTCACTATACTGTCAGTAAACAGATTTTTTAGATAACCCTGTGTGTGTGTGTGTGTGCACGTGTGTGCGCGTGCGTGCATGCGTGTGTGTGTGCGCGTGTGTGCGTGTGTGTGTGTGTTTTCTTCAGGTTCAAATACTGAAATCTCTCCAGGTCAAGAACAGCATCTAGTGATTTTAAAAAAATTGAGTCCTACCTTAGTGGTCACAGTAGACATTGGAAAATGTTGAATAATGAGGAAGAAAATACATTAGATATAACTTATGACTTAATTACTTTTCTACTTAGATAATTTACCCATCAGTACTCTTCCAATTTAAATACCTTCTGCTTCTTTAAGTTTTTATGTAAACTGTCAACCAGGATTTAAACTGAAATGGACACGGGAACTGAAAGAAATTCCTGTTCCTCTGCCCTCATCAGCACATCGCAAAGGACGGTGTGGAGCCAGTCTCAGGACTCACAGTAGGACATGCACCCAGGCTGCAGCGCCAGAGTCACCACTGGTCCTAGAGAAAATCTCTGTCCCAGAACCACTGATGTTTGAGATGAGTTTATCAAGTCCTACAAACACTACCTCCAAATATCCTCAAAACCTAGCCTCTCATCTCCTTTTGTCCTAGAATCCCTTTGTCTAGTCATTCAGACATTTTGTACCTGGGTTATTACATAAGCCTCTAGCTTACCTCCCTGATTCCAGTCTTAAAATAAACCAGAATGACCCTTGTAAACAAAATCCCTTCGCTTTCCATCC